GTTTAAGAAAATCTTTCCTAAACCTGAGGTTGGCTTTGAGAGTACTTTTGTTAAAATAGAGGTGCTCTGCAGAGAGCTCTCCCAGAACCACTTTTAAATGCTCGCTGTCATTTCTGCAGTGTCTTTAGAAATGTAATCGGCCAGATGGATGTGCTGGATTGGCACTGTAAGTGTCTTTGCGCTGAGAATAGTATCAATAGCTATTAATAACTTTGAAAGTCTCTCCAGATAAATCAGTGAGCACCGACCTGATAGCTAAGGAATACATGTTGTTAAACTGAAGATTTTATAAGTATTTATTTTGAACCTAACATGAACGCAGGGAATTGCAATAATTATGTATTTTAGTGATGTAATATTTTCTCTAAAACTGATTTTAAAAGCAAAGATAATCACCATTGTACTGTTTCAGGATTTCTCTAGGTGAACTAGAGAGTGGATTTTTCTAGTGAACTAGTCACTAGTCTCTCAAAGTGACTGTGCTATGGATTTGTTTGCCTATTTTTCAAGGGGAAATAAAAAATTTATTATAGGCTAAGAAAAATGCAGGAAATGTAACCATCTAAAATCTTTTCTATCAGAAAGAAAATGCTGAACTATGCTTAACAGAAATGCTTACGTATTAAAACAATTACAGTATGTTTCTCAAAAATTTATTGTGATTTTTAATGCTAGAACACCATCACTGCAGCCTTACTTACTGAAATTCATCTGCACTTTCCATCCATATTTCAGTGTAGGTTAATTATGTCCTCTTTGGACATTGCCAGGCAGGATATTCAGGTCTTTTCACTGGTCCTGCTCTTCTTGCTTTGAATGAAGAAACCAAAGGGGCCTATTTGTGTGTTTCTTGTTAATTTCCCCACAAAAAGAATTATGTCCTGCAAAGGTAGGTACCTATGGGCAATTTCAATTATTTATATATATATATATATATATATAAATATAAATAATGATAAATATACTTACATATAAATATATAAATGTAAGCTCTTCTGGTTTTTGTCTCTGCAAGGTGGAACTTTGTATATACACAAAATGATAGGAAAGCCTTACGTATATGCATATTTCCTACTTTTTCCTTACATAACAGTTATTTTCTATTGAGAAGATGTTAGTAGATGCCTTAGTCTAGGCTGGATTCGTTTTTGCTATAATGTGCAACCCTAAGTATTTGTTGTAAAACTTTTCCCACCCTACCAGAGGAACACTGTACTACAGGCTGTGCCACCACAGCAGACATTTTATTTGTGATCAAATTAGAATCTGGGTCTTGGGATTTGAAAGACAAACGCATTAATCCCCTGAAAGATTCAGTCAATCTCTGTCAATTCTAATCAGGTAAAGGCATTGGTCTTTTTGCTTCACAGCAGTTGGAAGGATTTTTTTTTTTAATTCAGGGAGCTGGCCTTTTTATTTCAAGCTTATTTCATCTTTGAGGTTAAAATGTCCCTATTGCGTGTGAAATACTGCAGGATTTAATGCACTCGTATGTCTCCTTAAGCTATCACAGTTCTCTGTAATTTGCAGAAATCTTTTGTGGTCATCAGCACCAGCTAGTAAGTAGGACACAAAACTATACTGGTTTTGCTAAAATAGATTGGGGGCTGGGAAGGAGGAAAGTGTTGGAGTAGCTTGGAATGTTTGTCACTTGTGCAGATAACTAAAGATAGTTAATTTATCTTTGAAAGAGACCATCTGAAAAGAAGTTTGGAGCAAGGGTCTGAATTTTTCTGGGTTTTCTGTGTAGAACATGAATGAGCACCCTTGACAGGTAAACTGAAATGAAATTGGTTTTGTATAACCTTCTGTGCAATAAGAATGGAGTTGACTTATGAGGCAAGTTACTTCGCATTATCCAGGAGAGATGCTGTGATGAAAAAGTTCAGGGAGTAATAGCATCATGTTTCCTGATGCCACAGTACAAGTTAAAAATAATCACATGCAGAAGCTCCTAGATGCCCTCAAAATAAATGTAAGGTGGTGTTTGTAGTTAACCCAAACTGTAGTTAGCCAACTGTAGTTAGCCAAAACTGCTCTACTGTTTTGGCCAGGATGCACTCCAGAACCGAATTTCTGACCATGTTCCCTCTCATAGAAGCATTTTGTGTTTGTAATTACATGTCCTAGGAGAAGTCAGGCCCCCAAAATGGCAATGTTGGATACCCTGGGCAGTGTGTTTCAAGATTTGCATCAGTAATATATGTTTTTCTTGTAAATAATTCAAGACTTCTCTGAGATGTGGTGGCACACGGTCCAAAAACCCTTTGGAGAGGGAAAGTAACATGCTGAAACCATGGCATGGAAGAGTAATGGCAGCTTCTCAGGTGCTCTTATGTGGTTGTCAGAGTTAATGAAATATAACTCTTGGTTTTCTCCAGTGAGGTTCTTCAATTTATAGTATTTGTGGAAAGGAGGTGGAAGAATTGTTCACAGTACTGATGAGGTGTCAGGCAAAGCCTACTTGCAGCTGGGTTTTGGTATAAGCTGTCCCTTTGTCTTTCCTTTCACCCTCTGGTGAATCCTCATTCTTCCATCTAGAAGTCCAGAAATGTTTTTCCCCTGACACAAAAAGAAATGTGGAACAGTCATGGGTTCCTGTTTTCAGCAGTGGGTGGTAGCATTCACCTCATGGCTAAAATTCGAATCTTCCTCTTTCACATTTCTTTGTATTGCCACTTTAGTATGTAAAATTATCATGAAACACTGTGTTAGAAAATAAAAGACAGACTCTCTAGTGTGCCTTTTTCTCTTTATCCTCTTTATATTCCTTATTGCTAGAAACCTGGGAAAGCACCTGTGTCTCTTGCCTCACCTGCTCTTAACTCATTGTACACTACAATAGAGGGAGATCTGGATTTGCTAAAGCATGGCACTCATTGGCTATTCCCAGAGCTGTCTCTGAACTGACACCTTTCTTCTTGTTTCATGATAAGTCCTTGCCTACTACTTAGTACCAGGTAGATGATGAAGTGGTTTTTGTTTGGGTTTTTTTGTTGTTTTTTGTTTGGTTGGTTGGTTTTTGGGGGTTTTTTTGGGTTTTTTTTTGGTTTTTTTTTTTTTTGCCGGGGAGGGGGGGGAGGTTTGTTTGGTTTGGTTATTTTGTGTGTTATCTTTGGGTTTTAAATTCAGATTAGTAGAACAATCACTAAAGGCAATAAGGAACTAGATTGTAAAGGATATGAGAGTGTAATAATTGCAAAGCAGCAGTGATTTCAACTTTGGTAGGTGATACTCTCTGTGGTTTCAGGAGCTTGATGAAAAGTTGAGTGCTAACTGTCCTCTCTCACTCTATTCAGGTCCTCTTTCATTGCCTGTGTTTCTACAGCTGATCTATCTGATGTTTTGACACTTCTCCCTGTAATCCTTGTCCTGTCTTGCCCTTGGCTTCTTTTGGTGGCTGTGGCCACACAGCTGAATCCCATCTGGCAGCATCAATGTCCTTTCTTGTAGTTTCCATGCATTAGGATGAATTTTCTCTTCTGGCATTAACAGAATGGAAGCAGTTAGGCTTCTCTTTCTGCTTTTCCATTTCTTTTTAGGCCTCCTAGCATCTTGGAATGTGCAGCTCAATTGTTATTAAATCATCTGGAAGTAAGAATAATCTGTGTTCTGCATGCCCTCTTTCCCTAGATCACAGTACTTGTTGTTTATTAGAAATAGAGGGCCTCAGTAAATTTTCTCCCAGAATTAGGTTCTAATTTATGGCCTTAAGTACAACAAAGGAAACACAAAAGAAGTGAGGGAGAAGTAATGACAGCAGTGTTCTGTACTTTGCTTATTTTCTTGATAAGAAGGGGTTTCTAACTTGCTGGTTGTATGCCTGGGATCAGGAATTAATTTATGGTATAGGGATTTTTCATGGTCTTTGACTTACAGTTCTCTGAAAGAAACTTGTCCTCTAGGTAAAGCTCTGGCAGCTGCATTTGTGAGTTTGCCCACACTTGACTGAAGGCAGGTGTTTCAGATGTTTGAGCTTCCCAAGGAGCCCTGTGATGTGATTTCCATGGGAACTGTAACTGGCCTAAGCATCTAGAAAATAATCCAGTTAGTATCATAGGGCTGTGCAGTATCTGAAGTTCTGATAGTTATGAAGCAGTTACCTTTTATCTCTTGCTACAGCTTGATGTTAGCCTTCAGGGCAGGGGGGACGTGTGACACATGGGACAGCACAGGCACTAAGCAAGGAGGTGCCACTGCAGTCTTGCTTCCCTCCTCTAGCAGAGCTGTCTTCTAATCCTAGGTGCCACTGGTTCATCAAGCTAACACTGCTTTCTTCATACTGATCTAGAACTTAATATAGCATATTCTCAGCTCTGAAATATGTATAATGTGACTGGATCCTGTGAGTGACTGAAGAAGACTGTAAATAAAACCTTTGTTTCTGTGCTCCCATATGGCAGCACAGATTGACTAGAACCATCCCTTTAGAACTCTTTTATTTGGTTGTTTTCTGGTAACACTGTTAGCATTCTGTCTGAAACATGAGACTGACCTACATCAAGTAGAAAAGGTTACCATCATACCTGTATAAACTCTATAGGAAACTTTCTAGTGCCTAATTTTAAACTAATAAAAGCTATTGGTTTTATCAGTATTTTGCCAAATCTGTGTATCTTTCATTTGCAATGGTGATGAATATTTGGTTATATTGCCGCTGCAGCCAGTATTCATCATAAGCAAAATTTGTTTGGGAGATTAGTGGGTTGATTTGTGTTTGGGTTCATGTGATTCTGTTTGCTTTATTGTTTTGGATTGTAGAACTGGACAAGAGAGCTTGAATGACATAATGAATCTCTCTGTGAGGTAATGTGATATAGTGTTTTTTTTCTAAAAAACTATTTTCTTTAACCTTCCTAGAAAGAATGAGTGCATTGTGTTTCCACTATCTGATGCAGATATTCCAGGAGAAAATAATACTTAACAAATTCAGTGCCTAAAGTGATGATGGAATACATTTTACTCAGACCTTGCTGACTGCTGTTTGCTTGGCTCCCCAGACAAACGTGTTGATGACTGGCCCCTGATGCAGTCTCCATTCCCAACACTGACTATCAGCACTATTTATCTCCTCACTGTCTGGCTGGGCCCCAAGTGGATGAAGACGAGAGAACCCTTCCAGCTGCGCTTCCTGTTGGTTGTTTACAACTTTGGGATGGTTCTGCTCAACTTCTTCATTTTCAAAGAGGTGTGTATGCCCTCTTGCAAGAGGGAATTCTTACTGAGGTGTGAGGATGTCAAAATGAAAATGATGTTGCATATTCTTGATGTCTATTGAGAGTCAATGTTTTGCACAGACTTTTAAAGATGAGTTTGCCTTTGAGGTATTTCTATAAGTAGGTAGTTTCTGTTTTTGAATAAGTACAATAAATGAATCTATAGAGAGAATTTGTGTTTGAGGTATTCCAAGTTCTTCTTAGATTCATGTTAGTCTAAATACTGGAGAGACTAAAATCTGTAAATTTAACACCCGTAACTGATGCATTTTTTTTCATCTTAATAATCCTAAAGGGTATCAGAACATATCTTGTTAGAAATTGAGCTGTTTACTCTTTCAATGTGTTTATAATATTTAGAAATTCAGATATCCATTGTCTGTAGTGAGGAAAAGTATCTTGTTTGGACGTTATCTTTGAGAATAAAAATGAAGTGAACTATAACCTTAAATGACAGGATACAGACTTCTAAAATTTGGTTTGCAATGTTCTGAGTGTGTTACATGTAATAAATCTCAGTGTTGCTGCATTTTTCCTTTGTTGGATTTTCTGGACAGAGGGAATGAATGGTAACACTGCAGTGGAACAGCTGTGTAGCAGTAGCTAGCTGGGATTACTTAACAGTTTGGTAATTATTGTTCAAGGATCACTGTACAGAATAAGGCTGATGCTAAGTTTATGCTGCTGTGACTGCTCATGTGGATCAGGAGTTGTCTTCCTGGAACACCTCTGATCATAGATTTTCAAAATCTGTTGCCAGAAGTAAGCAAATGAACAGCGTAGTTAAAATTACAGCATTGCAGAACTGCCTGGTCTGTTCTGTACTTTTGCCAGGAAAAAATGGCATATCTGATGATGATCTGCATTTTGACCCTTTCCCAGAGCTCCTAGCATAAAATCATTAATCATAAATTATTTTGGCCTCTCTTTAAGACATGGTTTAGTAAAATTTAGCCATCACACCTTAGTCATCATTTTGTCTAAACTATTTTCTTGGATTATTCAACTAAGTAGTGTGACAGGTACAAAAGAATTTAATGCTGACATGAAAGCATAGTTGAAGGAAGAGATTAAATCCAATCATCTTGGCAGGTTAAAACTGAAACTCCTGAAATTAGTTCTGCAGTGTTACTGCAATGCCTGTCTTTCTCACATATTCTTTTAAAAGAAACTTGTTTGTTTCATCCATAAACTGAATGATATCAAACTTGCAGTCAAATAATTTTCAGACCTATGTTTCTTATAGGATATGTGTTTGTAGCATTTCCATGTCACTGAATTAATATAAAGCTGAGTGGGACTACAAATACATATTTGTTGTTGATATGCTGCAAGCTCATAACTTAATACACAGAGGTTCTTGTGGGATCTCAGTCTCTCAGAACTGGGGCGCAGGGTGAACCAGACCGCCCCTGGGGGGCTCGGGAGTCTTAGAATGTTGCTAGAAATGTCTGGTGGCTGGACTTTGATCCCACATGGGAGATGACATCAGTATGAGGACGGGAAGATTTCACTGGGGTGAATGGTGAAGAGACAAGTTAATTGGAGTGTGAGATACAGGGTTTAAGATCCCTGTACAGGGGAGTCTAGAGAGGCAAGATGGAGGGATTGGGGCGTGCCCTTCTCCTTCTTCTTCTTCCTCTAAGCCTCTATCTTCTGTGGTAGAGTTGGCACTCCAAGATTAGACCTTACTAGGAGAACACTGGTTAATAAAGATAGAGAGTATTGGAGAAAAATGATAAATATTGTATACGTAACTCCAAGTATAAAGATAGACGACCGCCCCAGGAGCTCTCAGTGTGTGTGCCCATGACTGACTTCTGAGCAGAACTCTGTCAGGCCAAGAGAAAATCTTTTAGATAAGCAATTAATAAACACCGAGACCGAGAACAAATCTGAAGCTTCCTCTCGTCCTTTCGAACCCAGAGGCCCAAGGCCATCTTTGAGCTTTTCCCAGACCATCTAAACAGCACCAGAAATCCAACAGGTTCTAGTTTCCTCTTCTGTTCTAGGGGTAGGTTGTTGTTCAATGGATGTTGAGGCAATGGATACAGCACTTCCAACAAGACTTTTCTTGATTGTAGAGACTGATAGCAGGAAGGTGTTCAAGTTTCAGTGGCTCCCTGTAACAAGGCAATTTCTGCTTCCAAAATTTACAATACCACTGTGCCACTATTGTAATTCACACCAGTTTTAATGTAATTGTTATGAGTAAAATGATACTGCTTGTATTTTGTGAGTGATTGTAAAGTTTCCAGACATTGCTAAGAACAGAATTTGAATGTGAAACACCTTTAAAAGTTATTTAAATAACCATCCTGATGGCAAGCTCTTTTGTTCATCTGTGGGAGCTTATGTTAAATAGTAAAGTCATAAAGCACTCAGCACATGAGTCTAGTGCAAAACTCATACGCTGAATTCAAGTTTAGGTCAAAATCTGGCGCAAATTTTGCTTAGAACATGCAGAAGTCACAATGGAACAGACCCTATTTTGCCACAGAATCATGAATTTCTTATTCTACTTCAGGGCAGTCTGGTGAAGTCAATTTACTGCCTTTTACCAAGGCAGTAACTCAACCTTGGTTGAGTTATCCAGTGGGTCACAGTAGAGATGGGTTGGTTTCTGTACCAGTGCAAATTAAACTTTCCCTGCTCCTCTCTATTAGTACTGGATGTGCTTATGCCCATGTGGGACCATGCTGGAGTTCCAGTGAGTTACAGTAGTTTGTAAATGGAATTAGATGATGCAGAAGTAATTCAGTTTCTTTTCTAGAATAATTTCTGTGGACAGTTCTTTCATTTCCCTCCTTTAACACACGTGCAGCAAAAAAAGTCCAGAGGTTCACAAGGTTTTGTATGTTGTAAATAAGATGGAAGTCAGGTTAGTGGTAAGAGTAGTCAGTGCCTGTCCATGACAGGTTTTTTGAAATCTTTTTCTATCACTCCAATTTATGTCTGCTCCACTTCTGTCTCTCTTTGATCCTTAATAGAGGGATTACGTGGCTTTAAAATTCTTGGATCATGACATTTATGAATGTCAAGATCAGTGTTACTTGAACTTTGTACAACTCTAGACAAGTGTACTTCTTTCCAGTGGGAACTTGTTCAAATGTCAATTTTGTCTTCTCCTGTCCAGATTTTTGCAATGTGCCTAACTGAACACAAAGAGGCTCTACAGAAGCACTTCAATTGCTTTTTTGTTGGCCAAAATGGGGAACTTTACTCCATCCTTTTTCCCTCACTGTGTTTAGTGGGTATTCAGCTTTGGCTGTTCAAAGTGAGGGGGGAATGTTCTGGATTTTGGTTGTTATACTGTGCCTAGAATTGTGGATCCAAATTATCCAATTCCTGTCTCTTGAATAGTGTTCTCTTGAATCCATACTGGGAATAGCATTTCTGTCAGTTGTAGTGGAAGCAATTAGGTATTTTCTGTTTCTGAAGCTAGAGCCATCAGAAAGAATATTAGTGTCCAAATAGCTTAAGGTCATACTGGAATTTGTTGTACAAGGTTCTCATTATCTGGGCAGATACATGCAGGGAAAAAATAGTACTTACTTTTTAATTTACAAGAAAAAAATAAATAATCTGTAACAATAAGTTGTTAGTACTAAATATTGGCTTTCTTCAATAACTTTTTTACGACTAATAATATTTTAAGTATTTCTGTTCTGGTAAATTTGATGTAGCAAGAAATTTGCTGATAATTGTTATAAATGTGCTTTATGTATTATATTTCCTCTCATCTATGACTTTAATATTTTCAGTTGTTCTTGTCATCAAGAGCTCGAGGCTACAGCTATGTCTGCCAGAGTGTGGATTATTCAGATAATGTTTATGAAGTTAGGGTGAGTATTTCTTTTTTGTGTTTGTATATGAATGTGTGTAATATGTAGCACTACATGATGGTTTAAGCCTTTTCTGAGAACAGTGTTTCCACAGCTGCTGTCAGCAATGGCTGTGTCCCGTTACATCCTCCCAGGCCACTTCAGGTTTGACTGCATCCTACGTGGCAGGTTTAATCAAAATGCATCAGCATATTTGTGCTAGCTTGCATCTGACTGCTGCAAGTAAGGGGAGTCTTAAAGATACCATCCTTGGCTTCATCCACAGTTGTACCATGCAGGGTAAACTTTGTGTACATCCTTTCCTTCCCAGAGTTGCTGAAGTTTGGATACCAGGGTAACCACAGTAAAGGAGGTGTGTCCTGGCTAGATCAAAGCAAGTGAGATTTGTCATCTTATCTTGTGGTTGCACTTCACCCATCCTGGTGTGGCAACTCTTTGTCTCCTTTACCCATGTTTGGTTTTATGAGGCCTTGCTGGCATTTGGTAAATGTATTATCAGTAGATTTCATTGTATAATCTTAGATTTCAAATATCTGGGTTTTGGAAAACACCCAAATTAAAAGCAAAGTGCAGTTCCTTGTTCATTTTCGTAATGCTGTTGATTACCTCACATACTAAACCTTATCTTCCAGCAGAGCTGACACCTGAGAATCTCTCAGCTGTTCTTGCAAGTTCCATATACAGATTAGGACACGTCCCTGAAAATGCAGTGAAAATGTGTTATGTTTATGGTAATTTGAAAAATGTTTGTCTGTGAGTGGCTGTTCATGGACAGTGTTAGTAAAAGCTTGTGCACGTGGCAGGGGTGATAGTGAGAGCAAAAGGTTTGAGTCTTACACCTTGTTTATAATGGCTGATACTGCAGAACAGCTCTGTGTGTAGAATTTTATTGGCCTTATTGCAGCTGGCAATCTTTCAGCTTTCCCAATACAGTGCTCTCACTATGGCAGTCACTAGAATGATTCTGCTAAAATTTTTGTGGGAAAACTAGATCTAGCAGAGTATAGCAAATGCTTGACATGTTTGGAGTTTTTAATAGATTAGCAAAATAGAATGCTCTTGCACTTAGCTGAATGACATTGAGGACTGGTGTGGTATATATTGAAAGAATTTTTATACTAGCTAAATACAAGTAGTAGTCTGTTTCATAGCCTTACTTTTAGGTGCACTTATTTGTGGGAGGCAGTGGTGAGGTCAGACCTGCTCAGAAGAATTATCATCCATTTTGTTTGTTATGACAAACACAGTATTACTATACAATGAATTAAAGGCAAAATGACCTGAAGAATGTATTTATGCTATATAATGTGTCCAGATAGGAAGGATTGCTCTAGCAATATTTACTCTTTTGATTTCCTGACTTTTTTCTTTTTTTTTTTTAAATTTTATAAAATTATTTGCCATTTTTGTGGATTTGCATAAAATTTATCCCTGAGGTTTTAAGTTGTAGCATGTTCAGTTTGCAACTGAGGGAGTTGAGGAAGGAGGGAAAATGGAGTCCTCTCAAGTTGCTGCAACAAGTGTATAGTATGCTATCAGTCAAGACTCTTTATCTTGATCATTCTCTGGTAGTTCTTTTGAATGAATTCTCAGTTTAGGTAAATAAGTTGCAAGTAGAAAATTGTACTTTCCACAAGTGTGCTTTGTCAAACTGAGGATTCTGGGATACATTTCTTCCCTGCTTTACAGTATGTCATGCTCTGGATTTAGGAGGTATGCTGGTTTTTGACACTGTCAGACAAAAAAAAAAAAAAAACCAAAAAACAACAAACCCACACAAAAAAAAAACCAAACCAAAAAAACCAACCAACCAACCCAATCCAAACCTCCTCAAGATTTCGTTCACCATCATCTTTCATAAAACAAACCTGCAAAAGCAATTTTAAAATGTTTTTGCAGTTTTGAGTATAGAATTGATAAGTATTTTAGCACATCTCTCATGTCCTTTTAATAGCTCTAGATACTAAATGTCTAGCATTTACTGGCACCAGGTTTGCTCTGCAGAGAAATGCTGCACTGCAACAGTAGAATCAATTCCAAATGCAATGACCATATTTGCAAGGGAATGAGTAAATAAATCCTGTGTTGCTCAGATGAAGAAGACTGGGACTAGGTCACATGGAAACAGCACTGAGCCCAGAAGGTATTATGAAACATGCTCTGAAAAGCAGAGCTTCATATATGACTTTATTTGGGGCTTTGAAATTTGGAACAAATGTTAAAAAATGTGAAATTAATTGTATAGAGTAGTCTAAATGGCAGCATAGGTGCCTTGGTAGGGGCCCTGTTTCTGGCTTTTTGCAAATGTGCCACTCTGATATTGCCATCACATTGAGTGGCCTCCTCTGTGTAAAGCTCCTGATCAAAATAAAGGGTCAAGGAACCATCCTTTGTCCTTCAAGAGACTACAGAGAGCTCCCAGAAAGCAAGTTTGGCTATCCTGGATACCAGAGAATGTCCTTTTCTGCCTCTCCAACCCACATCATGTATCAAGACAGTAAGCCAGTGATTTCAAGGGAGCAGAGTAAGGGCAGGTGTTGGCACTTCCCCTGTACAGTTTAGCAAGTCAGCAACTTGTGGTTCAGAGACCTCTCTAGTCAGACAAAGCCTCTTTGGTTTTGCCAGTTTTTAGGGGAATATTTTTCCATGTATTTGTCTGTATATTTTCTTCAACTTTATATCCATCTTCTGGCTTTCACTGATGGTTAATTGTGAAGGTAGTTTACACAAAATGTGAAGAAGCTGGTCCTCCTGCTTAATGTTTTGCACCTACCTACACATGTTAATCTCATTCAGGCTCCCCTGACTGTTCTACAAGAAACAATGGACAACTGGAGCAAGCAGGGATGAAAATTAAATTTCCCAGTTGCCGAAACATTTGCTGAAATAAACTCCTTTGTGAATGACTTATCTGCTGAATGTAGTAGGCAGCCACTGTACTGACTGCTGGCGGGAAGTTGAGTGGTTTTGTTATGGAAAAAAATGAAATGTTCATAGTAGACAGAAAGAAAAGGGGTAGAAAACCTCTAAGAAAGTATTTAGAGGGATCTACAGATGTAACTTGCAAAAACTTTTTTGGTTATAGCTTAAGAGTCAAAATTATAAGTGCAAAGGGCTGAGATGTTAAATCCATGCTTTGTAGTACTCCTTTGGGAGCTTCAGAATTTGAAGTGAATGATTTTGTAACACTGTCTAACTTAATGTATGCTGGTGTCTGCCAGTAGTCATTTCCCCCCTCTGCTTATGTTTGTGTGTCCTTGTTTACCAGGTAAAAGTTTTTATTTTTTACCAGGTCAATCTATTTTATTTGCATTTCTGAAGAATTGGGAATATGGGCCTGTGTGAATTGGTTCTTGTTTTAAGTGTGCTGATTGTAATCATGAAGCCAAGCAATAATTGTTTTCTGTATTGTAATCTGCATTGTTAGTATTTATGTCTAGAGCTTGAGTGGTTTCCTCTTATGAAAAAGACATAATATACTTTAAAATTCAGTAAACTTGTCTTCACAAGTTCTGTAAACAAAATTCTATAACTGAAAATTCACTATAAAAGCGATTTTAATTTTTCACATTGCTATGACCTTCCAAGGAGGGGTCCCTTCACATCCCTTAATGGATAAATGTCTCCAACCCAAAATGAGGAAAAATGCTGCAGAAACAGAATCCTGTAATAAAACAGCCCTCCAGTCAAAAACCCTGCAGCAGGCAGAGGACATGGGATTGGACCTCTTGTTGACCCTCTTAATCCTAGGCTGTAATGTAATCTTTCTGTGCCATCTGGTGTTTTAACAGACTTAGATTGGTACATATGAAAATTACCAGAAAATATATAGTTGTAACTAGTATTGTTCATTACAAGGATGTGCCTTTTTAATGCATTATTCCTTTTCTTTTCAACTAAATCTTTCTTGCATGCAGTGTCCGAAGGCTAAAGGTTAGGCCATGATTTTTGATGCTTTGAAAAATAAATTTAATAGTAGCCATCTGCTCCTGACAGAGCTTACATATCAGCATATTGTTCTCTGTTTCTGCCCTTTCTCACTGACTTTATGCATGGCCTCAGGCAAATGACTTGACATTTGTTTCATTTTTTTCTATAAGCTAATGATGAAAACATCTGTAGAAGTCACTGGAAGTACTGAAGTAGATCATCAGTACACAGAACCTATCATGTTTGAGAGTAAATGGTAGAAAATTTGATGATAGTAACAGAACAAAAAAGCTGACAGGCAAAAAAATCTACAGGAACACAAAATCAGCAGGTATAATCCTTCAAAGAGTCCTGTTGTTTTTCTAAAGTGATAGGAAGCATTTTTGTCAAAAGCTCAGATTATTTTTACCCATGGAGTGCAATTGTTTTCTCTGCTAGGTGCAATTCAAAAGAAGAGCAATGAGATGTGTTATGTGACTTGTCCAAGAACATATACTGAACTTGTGGCACTTTAGGTATAAGACAGAAGTATTTTTGTAGGATTTTCATAATTTGCTCTGTGTCACAGTAAATTGGCTATTCACTTATGGGCTATTTAACTTATTGTTCCCTTATTTCATTAACAAAAATGTCCATTTACTTTATAAAAGATTTTATGGCAGTTTGCTTATGACTGACCTTCTGGTTCTCTAAAAGTTTCTTTGAAGAGAGGACCTCCAACGAGCTAAAGTATTGCAGTGCTGGATTGTCATTTTATGGCTATACAGTCCAAAGTGTTTATTGTCAGCTTCTGAAATGAAAAGATGCTTATCTCAATTTATGTAAGAGGTACAACTTTAGCAAAGACCTGTAAGAGATGCTGGACTGTTATGCTAACCCATTGGGTGTGAACAAACCTTAATGTGGGTGTTATTAAATACCTGACTACCTGTCCCAGAGGCAGTACTGGATATTGAGCAATTTATACGGATATATATGTATAAAAATTATTCTTGCAGCTTGCCTGTGTGTCTGGGAACTCCAAGATCTGTGGGAGTCACTTTTCTGTCATTAAACCTCTCTCCAGCTTTAGATATTAATATCTCTTCATATAAAAGTGAAAAAATCTGCCTCCTCTTCCCAAGATGTGAAGTGGGCTAAATCACATTCAGAGAGAGAGAAGGGTGTTCATTAATGGATATATAACATAGAAGGCTGCAGTTTGGCATCAGTGAGATGTGCAGTCCCTCTGGGAAACTGCAGAGCCTGCAATGCAGATATGCAGCACTCTTCTCCTGTGCTGCGTTTTTGCTTCTGCTGTAATTTCTCCTAAACTGTTCACCAGACCAATTATGGCTATGACAAACTTAGTCTGTGGAGAGGTGTTGTCCTTTCCCACTGCTTTGGAGAGATGGAGGAAAACACTGTGCAGGGCTATAGCATTGCTCTCTACAGCTCTTTATGGTTCCCCTTCTCTCCCCAAGAAGTATGTGTGGAGTTGGGAAGGGAAGCTGTTCTGTATTAATTCTTTTATCTTCTGTCTTCCCTGCAGACTGAGGAGGTGGTGGGGTTATTTCAGACCATATTAAGTTAAGAAAGTCTCATTTACCATCAACTGAGTCCTGAAAGACAAGGCCAACATCTTACAAATAGTGTGTTGTGACATTGCCTGCTCTCCTTGCTGGTGGTACCAATTCTAACTCTTTTTTTTTTTTTTTTTCCACTCTCAGTGTGAGTCACCATCTGGTCCCACCCTTGCATAACAAGCTGGATGACTTGCAATGCCAAAACGAGACTTGTTGCTATGTTTTGGGATCTGGGAGGGAGTCCCTACCACCACCATACTCCCATATCATAGCATTAGCATATTGCTACACAGAGCTTCTGGGCTGTACTTGCTTTGACAGTATCCTAATTTCAGCAGGAAGCCCTGTTTGTGTTGCATCCTGGGCAAGATGCGCTGTGATGGGTGGATGAGAAAAAGAATTTTGGGTGTGTAGTACTTCCCTGTTGGGTAGATGGATGATACCTGTTCAGTTTGTATGGCTCCTGTGGTCTCATTTTTCCTACTCCCTGAATAGCAGAGAGCCACTGGGGGAATGCTGCTTTTCAGAGGGAGTTACTGAGCAGGCCAGAAGAAGCTGAGGGAATGTTGCTATAAGGAATGTGAGATCTCTGCTGCATCTAACTTTTTTTTAATATCTTTCCACCCATATGCCTGTGGTACTGGAGGTTTCACCTTTGCAACTTCATTTTATCATCATGTTTCTGCCTCATTGTTCTGACCACATCAAAGGGTTGCCTCATTAGAGGGGGAAGCCCTGTGGCAGACTTCTGCAAAGCTTAGGAGAGAATGAGGACACAAACTTCCCATGCTTAACTGGTAAACTGTTCAGATATGGCAGAGCTTTTAACTATATCAGCTCTTTTTTACAGGTGTGATTTGAGAGCAACAAGCTAAGAATAATCTTCTCCCATAATCTTCTTCCATGTCCAGAACAGATGAAAGGAGTATTTTTTTGTTGTTCTCATACTGTCAGATGTTTGATTCCACTTCAACATTTAACCAAGATTTAGGGAAGGAAGCAGTGTCCTTCTCTTACAGTAGCTAGATGGTGAGAACTTTATTCCATTCAGCTTGGAATCACTCAAACTTACATAGTCTCTGTTTTTCATTGCAGATAGCTGCTGCTCTATGGTGGTATTATGTCTCTAAAGGAATTGAGTATTTGGATACAGTATTCTTCATCCTGAGGAAGAAATTTAACCAAATTAGTTTCCTTCATGTCTATCACCATTTCACCATGTTCACCTTGTGGTGGATTGGTATTAAGTGGGTTGCAGGTGGACAAGGTGAGTTCCCTTCCTCTCATATGCTTTTGACTGGACAGAAGGGAGAATTATTATTGTTTGGGAGCAGTAGAAGAAAATGTTATAGACTTGACTTAATAGTATACAAAACTGTTTATTAATGCATACGGCCTCCTTCTGTGGGAAACATGGGGGAGGAAAAGATAACAGGGCAATAGTCTAATGAATTGCAAAACTTCTTTTCTTTTCCTCATGGGCATCAGTTGCAAGCCTGGAGTTCTGCCTTCGAAAGTACCTGTATCTGTGGGAAACAGAAAGATGTATGCATCTTGCTTAACTTTAATTTTTGCAGATACAGAGAGCTGCAAAATCTAATTATGGGCCACATTCTGTGTGCAAATTTAATGAAGACAATGGAGATGTTATTTTGGCATTGTATATGAGTTTGAGGTTTGCTTTTATTTTTATTGAGAGGCAAATATAAAATTCTAAAACCTTCCCTTGGAGGTGAGCCAATAAATCTGTCAATTCACTTTCAAAGCCTATTCATAATGACACAAGTCTAAATTCATTATCAGCCTTTTTTCCCCTTGCTTCTCTTCTAAAGCCTTCATCAAATAATTTTATTTTTGTTTATTTTACTTGCCACACCCTTCATTGCCAACATTGTACTCTTGTTCCTATTGTTCAGCCTTATCTCAAATTGAAAGCTCTGCAGAGCTGAGGGTACAGGGAAAATGCCCTCTTTCCTTTGATGTGTGCTCTATTAGTAAACACAAAATACCATATTATGAACACCAAACTAATATTTTGGGTTTGGCATTTTGTTTTTGGTTTTTTTGAACCACACTAACACTTAATGCATGGGTGGTTTATGCTCCCATTTACTATAGGTATTTAGTACTGAGGGGCCACTTACATTGCAAGGAAGAAATATGTAAATTCAGTGTCTCTTGACTGCCTTTCAATTTCTCTCACATAATATGCAGGAAGCAGGTACTCAACCAGATGTTTTATTATCTTTAATGGCAACTGCACTTATAAAATAAGATAATTGGAGACTGGATGGTTACTTGTAGTCTTGCTTAGAAATTCCCTGGATATCTCAGAAGGCCCACTCCCTTGTTGCCTTTTCAGAATTTTCATGCTAAATGTCTGCAGTTTTTAATGCAACAGTTACAACTATTTCCAAATTTCTTTCAAGCTTTATGTTCTAGCACTGCCTCTTAGTTTCTAGAGCCTGCAAAAGGAAAAGCAGCAGTTGCTTTTCTGCATTTATGTAGCAGCACTGCATAAATGTGGATAGGTCTGTGTTCTTCTGTTTTCTAGTTGATGGCACATTGCTTACATAGACAGGTCTATTATGAACTAGACCCTATTACAACAACTGGTCCAGACCACACGGGCATCTGAGCTGTTTGATGTCAGCAGCTATTGTCTGTATTGCCAGGATCTTATACATTAGAGCATTTTTGAGCCTCTCTGTCAGTGTAAGAATACTTTAACAAAATATAATGTGCTTCTGTTAAATGGCTGCTAATCTTGACAAAGCAAATGGATCTTAATGCAAATGAAACTGTCAGCATGCATCTAACGTGGATCATTCTGGAAAATGTTATACTATACACTGACATATTTAAGAATGCTGGATATTTTAAATCATAAATAAAGAAACTAATGATTATTAATTTAGACAAAGTCACCTGGCAACGCCTTAAAGTTCTTATAAACATGAGTCAAGTCATGCTTCGTATGGGCTTTTGTTGCCCTATTTAATCAGACTTCCATGTGAGTTTCTTGACTTCTTGCTGAAAAGTGAACCTTTTGCATTTAAATACAGTTTAAAAGATTCAAATTCAGAGCCTGGTACTTTATACCTTTATACCTTATTGTCAAATAAAGCTTTTGATAATCCTTCAGAAAAACATTCACAGTTATACTACAACAACGAATGTGGAATAGATGTCACTTATGTTTGTTCAACAAAAACCTTATAAAAAGCTTTGGCTTTCAAACCATGACACTAGTTACACTGAAGTGTGACATACTACTTGCATTAACATCTGTTTGTGTCAGCACATGTTGACAGCCAGGTCTGTATTATACTATTCAATATTTTGGAGATGGAATCCTGACATGTCCTGTGTTTTGTAATTTTTCCTATTAAAAATAATGATACAAGTAATACTAGAAAAGAATCCTCTTTTCCAAAATGACATTATGGTCTTCCCTTCTGTTCCTGGACAGCTTTTTTCGGAGCTCAAATGAATGCGTTTATTCATGTCATTATGTACATGTATTATGGATTGGCAGCTTGTGGCCCTAAATTTCAGAAATACCTGTGGTGGAAACGATATTTGACCATATTGCAATTGGTAAGTAATTCCCCTCCTTTTGGGATAACAAGTGTTGCCTCTGTGTGGATTTGCATTTGCAGAGCTTTGGATCAGATGCTGCTCCTTACAAAAGTTCTCTGTCTGACACTTCACAATGAGAGTACTTCCCGGAGATGGAAGCATTTATTCAGTTTTGAAAAAACATGTGTAACATATATAAGGGTTGTGTGAGTTAAAGTCTAATGCTTCCTTGCTGGTTGTTTCAACTGAATAACAAAAGCACATTCAAAATAGAGAAAATTCAGATTGCTCATTATCTTCTCATTGTCCTGTTTCTGAAAGCTGATGCCATGCCAGATATTACAATAAATGTGATGCTCCTGGTCAAGCATAAATGTGTCTGCATGAATGTGACAGGCAAATACAGCTTTCCTACCACCTCCCAGTTCAGCTGTTTTCATTACTTACTGAATTGGTATAAATTGATGCGCTCAGACCAACAGAATACATCCAGACATTTTTGATTCTATATTTTCTGTCTTTCAGGTGCAGTTCCATGTGACTATTGGCCACACAGCCATGTCTATTTATATTGATTGTCCTTTCCCTAAATGGATGCACTGGGGTGTCATTTTCTATGCTATCACCTTCATTTTCCTGTTTGGTAACTTCTACTATCGGACATATAAGCTGCCCAAGGAACCTGTAAAGAATGGCAAAATAGCAAATGGTGCTGTTGCAAATGGAGTAAGCAAACCAGAAAATAATGCTGTGGTGGAAAATGGAAAAAAGCAGAAAAAGGGAAAAGCAAAAGGAGAGTAACTTGATCCAGGCCTTAACCATTGTTGGCAGTGAGGAACCTCCAGTTTGGTTTATAAAAGGAAGAAAAAAACACTATCTGTACCAATTAACCTTAGGTTACTGAAGAGCTAGAACACAGATATTTTCATTATTTATGAAGATTGTTTTAAGAACAACACTAAAGTTGAATTTCTATTGTAATTATGTAATTATCATGCATATGGTCTCTGTGTAAACTTGTAGACTGCTGGTGTTGGTGAATGTAAGGAAGAATTGCAGTTGATTCCATGTTTAGCAGTCCAAAAGTTAATACTACCATTGATACAGGCAGTTTTGTTGGCACCCACATTTCTTGGGGGGTGGGGGGGAGGGAAAGGAAGTAGCATTTGAATACTTGTGCTTTCTTTCCAGAAAATTATTAAATTTCAAATTATGACGTATTATCTAATCAGAATGTGCAACTTTTCTTCTCCTCCTTGGAGAGTACCTTCAGACAAAATATGTGCTGTCAGAACAGTGTTTGACTTTTCAGACATTACTTGATTTAATTGAGTATCTGTTACAGTTTGGTTTTTGTTTTATTTTTCTTGTGTGGAAATATACCTACCTCTTCATCTGCTGAAAAGAATATTGAGCATTAAATAACTGGTTTCTGAAATACGGAGTCCTCTAATCTAAATATCCGTTAGTACTAATTCAGGAGAGTGTGTGTTTCCCTGTGGGAGTGAAAGGGATTTTTGTTCGTGTCCTTTGATCAAGTCATCATTTCAGTGTAAACTGAAATTTTGGAGTGGTACTTTTAGTAGAGCCAAGTCAAGAGTACATTTTAAGAATGTGTAAATATGAACAAATATATTGGTTGAAGCAAGCAGTAAAAATAGGCTTGCTGCTTGTTGTCTGTGACCTGCATTAAATCTGTGGCACTGAGTCAAAATACTCAAAATGGTAAGATAATGCTATGGTGGAGAGAAAACAGCATGTAATTCCATTTAGAAATGTTGTGTGCATGAAGAGTCATGCTAACTACAAGACCAACCATCACTTTATTGGGAGAGAGAATTGGGTCTAAAAGTACTAAACACAGCAAACATAAAACCTGGAAAACGTTGCTATTGCTTGATACCTGTCAAAACTCTATTTGTTAGACACTTGCAGGCAAAGTATTGCTGATAGACAGGCCACCATTGTAAGTCAAAACTGCTAAAATAAGTAGAGACTTTTAGATGGATTTTCATTTACATATTACATAAAGGACTTTTTACCATTCCTTTTGTGAAGAAAATAGGGAAAGATTTATACACCTTCTGAATAATGTGATTACTAAGAGATACATTTTGAGCTGCTTAGCATGCAATGAGTAGAAGATGGGTGGAATTAGAAACTATATCCTGAATTACTGTGTTCCTTGGCCATCACTGCAAGAGCTGCATTGTTACTGTCCAAATGTATTCCTCCCCCAGCTCTGGTCAAAACATATCCAGAGGTAGCAATAAACATGTATCTGGCAAGCGGCACCACTGGTGCAGAAAGAGTACACGGAACTGTGAGTATAAAGTGAGTGACACATTAATAGATTTTTGTATCTCAATCATCCAGTGACTGTTTATAATATGCAAGCAGGTCACTTATTCTGGTTCTCAGGTTTGTCTTGTTTCTATTTAAAAAAAAATCTAAACCCAGAAAACAAGTCCTAGGAAAAAGAGTTTTGGATATAGTCTGTTGTATTAAAAAATAATTCCTAATGCTGGAGTTGGTTCAGCTGGGAGGTGGTTCATCCCTAATCACCACCACTTTGGATTTTTGGGCAGAATGTAGAGTTGTGAAAAACTGTCTCTGCTGAACTCAAATGCATGTGACCATTAAGTTTCTTATCTGCTGTGTCTTCTGATTCTTCCAGCCTTTGTAATGATGCTTTTTGCATTTGCATAACTGCATATTTGCATAGTGTGGCATGGGGAAGAGGGATGGGGATCTACCCTTCCTTCTTGGACAGATGCCACTACCCTTAACCAAGCCAAAATGCTGGCTGTGTAACTTTGGCTCTGTAGCTTTGGAGTAGCTAAAGGAGTAAACTACAGAGCAGATTTACAGCACACCTGCTACTCCAAGGCAGTGACTGGTGTGAATGTAGTTACCCTGCTGTAATTTCAAGGTCGTTTACCCCACTTTGATTAAAAGGTAGCTTCTTTCTATTTGCCATGGGATGTGGGCAGCTAACTTCTAAGTCTGTATCATTCCTTGAATTGTGTTAGATTGGTTGTTTGCTCTGTCATTCATTCAACAAGCCAGATCAGCTAAACTGATACTCTTAATGTGATCTAGCTCTGAAACAGCATACTGAGGAGTATTCCAGTACAGGTTCAATTGTGTCTTTGCTACACTTTCTGACTAATTCTTAAGAATTATGTCTTGCATGATGGTAAATATTTAAATAACTGAAAGTCAAAAATTTTTCCCCTTCATCATGCATGGAAGGGAATTAAAGTTGATTGGAACTTGAACATTGTTGACAGAACTTGAGTAGAAATCTACTATCAAATTCTGGGGTAATCATTAAATTCTAAAAAAACATGAAAAACTCATTGTGAGAATGCATGTGTACATACACATCATGTTGTCTGGCCCTGTGCATAAAACCAGTTTGAGAGATTGCCATTTCATGGGGGGAAAAACCCCAGTTATAAATTACTGGAGCACTGCTGTTTTGAGGACATCTTTTGCAGTATGACTTTCCTAGGTCTATTTATGATATATTTGATTGTTCATGTAATTCAAGTCCCATTGCAATCTTGAATATAATGGCCTTATTAAATGTGCATTTTTGTAGGCATGACCTTGAGTGCAATATTTCTGTTTCTGACTATGCAGCCAGACTCACAGAATACAGGGCTCAACTTGTACAGCTTTTTTTTTTCAAAATATAGGCAATAATGCACATGTGAAATACTGACAGATCCATTAGAGTCATCTTTGAATCTAAGGAAGCTTAAAATTTTGCTATGAAATTATGTATAAATGTGTATTTCTATACACAGTTCTGAAATTCAAATTATACAATCTTTTGCAGTAGAATTATTCTTTACAGGGTTATTGGGGTTTTGTTCTTCTAAATCTTTCAATTGATTGAAAAATTAAATTCAAACAATTTGAAACTTCTCTTTTTTTGCCAATGAATGATAATTTTTTGCTAAGAGTTCTGAAGCTCTTGGACCAGAGTCTCTAAATATTTGATGCCATATAAGTAATACCATTTCGTTTAGCCTCATCTCTAGCAGTGACAGTTGTTGGATTATTTTAGCACTTTTTCAGTGTAAAATTAAATACAAATTATCTATACATGTGTGTATATATGTGTACACATACACAGTGTATGTGTGTGTGTATATATGTATGGGTTCTTAGCAGATTCTTTCAATATGTGAAGTACATTATATTTCTTGAATGTGAATTTGGCAGGAGCTAATAGAATGATTTCTAGCTCCAGAAGGAAAATAAAGCAGTTTTCTTTCCACAGATCCAATATCAGTCTTGCAAACATAAATAGTATTTGTCAGTTATTTTAGATATAGGATGGCAGACAAGACAGAGCCATTTCTACTGATGTAATAAATATTTTGAGGCATCAGTTGTAGATTCTGAGGGGAGAGATCTCAACTCAGGGTAGCTGGGGAATTATGCTGTATTATGGTAGGGATCATTTTAGTATGAGTAACTTGCTCCAGGTGAGTCTTTGAAATCATTGCAGTCATATTCTCTGTTTGACAGAAAACTTCTAAAAATAAATCATAGAGTCATAAAACCATTTAGGTCGGAGAAGACCATTAAGATGACTGAGTCCAACTATTAAACAAATGTTTCCCTGTAAGTTCAGAAGCATGGCCTATTTGATTACAGGACCATCAATTACTTCCAGCTGCACATCAGGAGAAAAAGGTGAAGGCAAAATGAAAATGCTGCACATTTTTTCAGGTTAACCTAAAGGGCACATTTCTTCAGAGTAAGCACTTGAACTGCATGTGCTGGGAAGGGAGGTAAGAAAGTACAAACAGCTTTTGTGATGCAAGATCTCAGTCCTAAAATAGCTTACAAGCACTGGCTGTCTCTTAAAAACTTGAATAAAACTGTTCATGGTGCATAAAGTTAAACCTTGCATGAAGCTAATGTGGGCTGAGATGTATTTCAGTCAAAATTGAAGAGAATGGGGAGCTAATTAACTATCTGGATAGTGTATTTATCTTGGTTAGAAACACAGACTAATCCAATATGATACCTAAAGCAAGACACCCATTTGACATCTCATTGCGCTGCAGTCTGATGCCCCTTTGCTAATGCAAGCAGAGGGAGCTCCATGGAAATGAGTGGGTTGGTTCCCATTTACCTCAGCAGAGTGTGCTGAGCACTAAAGAGCAGAGAAAATACTTGCTTTCTGCCAATATCCCAGGAGGATTGAGGGAAATGTATGGTTCAGGGTGCTGCTTTTGCATAAGGTGTTCATGCTTTTGTAAACATTAAAAATAAACATTACTTTTTTCATGCTGTTTGAGTTTGGTTTTATACATTCTGTAGCATGTTCTTCTGTGTCCCGTCTTGCCTCAGGATTCCTGCTAATTTTAGTGTTGTGCAGATTGTGTGATGTAATCTGTTTTATTACCCAGGACTTTGAGAAAACCATTTTTTGTGATGCATCCTCCTATTTTAAGGTTACAGGGACTTCCTATTTTTTTTAATATTGTCCCCAAATAATAGTGGAGTGACTTTGAAATCACCCTAAGGGAACTGACTGAAAATAGGATGCCCACTTAAAACAAACAAAAAAATCCCCTAAGTTTCCTTATTTGGTCTTGGAATTGTTAACAATTAGGAATACAATTAGCCGTGAAGTTTAGCTTTTGCTGGACACTGTGTGGTGTTAATGAAGCCTCTCATCCCAGAGAATCTGGAGCACTTTTAGCATTGGGTGCAGTTTGTGGTTACATGTGCTGGGTACAGGAAGTTCCTTCATTGTCTGCCAAGTATGATCTCTGTAATCAGCCTTATAATATCAAGTTGCACCCGTGTTGCACTCCTAGAACCTCAGTGCAAATAGCTACTCCAGATGTCAGGTAGTAGAGAATCAAGCCTGCCATCATAGCAAAATATGGTGTGGTCAATTATGTCTTGCACAATTCTCAGCCATTGCTTCAATCCACTGCTTGCATCCTCCCTGGAATCAGAAAATACACCGTGTTCAGAACAAGATTTGTCCTTTAGATGATCAACATGTGTTGGGGTAGGCTCTCTCTGCAGGCATCCTTCTCACAACTCTATTCCCCACCAGTAATTAAAAATAAGAACATGGTCAAATCAGATTTATTGGATGA